TCTCGTCAAATGTCCTCTACAACTGGCCTCCAACCATTTCTCTCTAGCACCTCCCTTGCTCGAGGGTATCTTAAGCCCCAAGTTCCCATTCTTTCATTATACACACAACCCCCCCCCAAGTAGCATTACCAGCATCTTAATTACCACATGGCGTTTGACCATGACCTTTGCCCCATTCTAGGCTACTCTAAATGTCCAAAATACTTTGCGATTCTTCCACTCAACCCACTCTTCCCAGAATCCCTAGGCCCAGTCGCTCCAGCAACGCCCTCAAGCTCTATCCCTTCACTGCAGGTTACCTTCCAGACCCAGAAGCAGAACCGCGCCCCCCCTCACCACCCCACCACCCCCCCCCTTTCTCACGGGCTCGGTTGTCACGGTAACCGTTGTCTCGGTGACGGTCTCACTCAGCCCGGGTCCTGCCTCGGCCATGGCTAAGGCTAAGGAGAAAGAAGAGGGAAGAGGGAGAAACACCGTTTCCTTTAATAACGTCTCTGGGGCTAAGAGATTCGGGTCCAGGAATCCGAAGAGTAATCAGGATCCTCCGCCTTCTTTCTCCCCCTTCTCCAGGGCCTCCGCTTTCCCAGCCTGGGGTAGAATCTGCAAACCCCACTTCCGGCCCTCCGCTTCCTGGTGTTACTCTCTCTCGAGTCCCCCGGTTCCTTTCCGGGGACTCGCTGCGTCAAGACGCAGGCATCGCAGGAGTAGTTCCGCCGTACACTGACAGTGCGCGGGCGCCACGAGCGCGCGCACACACGCGCGCACGCGCGCAGGCACGCACTCACGCCCTGTGGGCCGGGCGGAGCTCTCTGTGGGGGGGAGTGGAGGGGGGGGGTGGAAGGCTGAGGTCAAAGGTCAAGCGCACTGCCCTGAAGCATCTTTCTGGGAGGGCATTGCTGGTCCTGTGCTACCAGACGTTGTCTGCTGAACCTGTCCCCTCCACGGGAAAATTAAGAGGAAATAATGACCCAAACTGGGGGCTGGAGCGATAGCAACAGCAGTAGGGCGTTTGCCGTGCTCGGGGCTGACCCGACTGACCCAGGTTCAGTTCCTCCGCCCCTCTCAGAGAGCCCAGCAAGCTACCAAGAGTATCCCGCCCTCACTGCAAAGCCTGGCAAGCTACCCGTGATGTATTCGATATGCCAAACACGGTAACAACAAGTCTCACGATGGAGACGTTACTGGGCCCGCTCCAGCAAATTGAGAACAACGGGATGACAGTGACAGTGACAATGACCCAAACTAAACCTAGAACACGACTAATGATCTGGGCTCTGGACCTGAGAGTACAGATGACGCTTCTCTCGCACATGGTCAACCTGTGTTCCATCCCGGCACCCTATATGGTCCCCGGAATACCGCCAGAGCACTCTGTGCTCTGAAAACCGCTGAGTGAGCTCCAACTCCAATTAAACAAAAACAAACTAGGCGTTCTGGGCCTTGACCTATGCCTGTAGATCATCCAGGTGGCACTTACTGAACCTTCAAGTGTCCAGAGTGAGGGCACTTGGTGTGTTTGTGACCAAACCGACTTTGACCTCCTGTACTCAATCTGGTCCCCTGAGCCTGCCTGAGTGATCCCTGAGTATAGCCGGTGTAGCCCCATGAAACAAAACCAAAAATGTTAATATTTTACCTTCAGCTTTATTTTCTGTCATTGTGTCAGGCTTTAAAGATGGAGCATAAAACTCAGGGACTGTCTTTTAGCTCCCAGTCTAGTGGGAAAGACCAACATGCTTAGGACTAACATAAGTAGGCGTTGGTATATTAACAATGGTATATTTTGTCCTCGGAGTTAAGTTCTGCCTGCATTCTCTATTCTGTAATGAGTGATTTACAACATAGGCCCAAATTTATGCTATAATTCAAAAGAATTATACCCACAGGTGGAGCAACAATGTAATATGGTGCTTCCCTTGTATGGGCCAGCTGGAGTTGGATCCCCAGCATCCCATATGGTTCCCAGGGCACCGCAGGGTTTGGCCCAACTCCCCCTCCCCACCCATCCCAAAACAAAACAAAACAAAACTTTAGTATTGTTATGAGAGTAAAGCCCTTGGGCACTTGCTTTGCAAGAGGATGACATGGGTTCTAGCCCAGCACCTGTTGTTCCTGAGCCCACCAGGAGTGAGCCCTGAGGAGAGCCAGGAGTGAGTCCTTAGCACTACTGGGTGTGTCTATCCCCCCTCCCTCTCCCCCCCCAAAATACATACACACATAGTTAAGGGCCAATAACATAGTGTAGGGGTTAAGACCCCAATTGGATCCCAGGCACAGCTTAGGATACTCTCTGAACAGAGCCTTCTGGTAAATTCTTGAATACCTCTGGGTGTGGCCCACTCTCCCTCAAATGTTGTTTCCCAGGTAAGAAAGTGATAAAGAGGAACAAGATAGGGTTGAGGAGATCATACAAGGGTTAATTAAGGTGTTTGCCTTGAATGTGGGTATCCCAGTTTCATAGCAAGCAGCACATGTGGTCCTTTGAGCACTGCCAGGGATCACTTCTTAGCAGAGCTTCTAAGCACCTCCTGAAGTATGCCCCTTACCCCCATAAAGGAGTGGGGAACACGGCAAAGAGATTAAAGATAAGGCTAGACAAGTGGACTCACAAAATCACAAATGGGCTTAAATGCCATGAATGCTTTGCTAAAGAAATTTGGATTGGGGTTTTTGTTGTTTGTTGGTATTCAGGACTTGCTTCTGGCTCTGCACTCTGGGATCACTGCTGGCAGGACTTGGGGAACGTTTGGAGTACTGAGGCTGGAACTGGGATCAGTTGCATGCTTGGCAAGCACCCTGCTCACTGTACTATCTCTCCAGCCCCTGAAATTTGGATTTTACCCAGTGTTAGGAGCCAGGGAAAAATTTAAAATAGGATAGAGACAGCAGATTAGCAGATTTTAGATTTCAGGAGTTGGTTAAGAATATCTGTTAGAAAAGTTCAGATCTACAATGGAGGAGGCTCTGGAGATAGACAGTTGATGGAGTGCATGCTTTCATGTACAAGGTCCTGGGTTCCATCCTCCAAAATGCAGTGAAGACTGCCCTACCCATTCAAATTGGTTTGTGGGGCCAAATGTAATTGTATATATTTGGTAACTATGAATAAAGGGCAACAGTCACAAAATACTCATTATCAGCACTTCATAATTATTTAAGCCAAGGAATTCAAGAACACTGATTTCCATGCTAAAATGTGCTATGTATTTATTTCCTTTTACAAGTTCATAGAACAAAGAAACCCAAAACATAGAACTTGGGCATGGGTTTAATATCTCTATTGAGTGAGGTTTCTTATGTTACTTCTTTCTACCTTTCTGTATATGAATATTTCAGTGACTATATAATACATTTATGTCTCAGCAATCAAATTTTCTAAATTGTCAGGGCTTGACCGATAGTACACTGGGTAGGGTGTTTGCCTTGCATGGGGGTGAAAGGCATCCAAATGGTCTCCAAATACCACCCGGAGCAATTCCTGACTGCAGAACTAGGAGTAACCCCTGGGCAATCCCGGTGTGACCCCAAAACAAAAAATAAACAAAATTGTCACCTGTGTAAATAGTATAGTTACTTTCACATCAGATTTTTTTTGGAAAGGGGGCATACTCAGCAGTGCTCAGAGTTTACTCTGTACTCAGGGATCACTTCTTGCAGTGTAGTTTGGGGACCATATGCAGAATCAGGAAATGAACCCAAGTTGGCTTAGGCAAAACTGTAGAACTGTAGCACTGTCCTCCCGTTGATCATCGGTATTTGCTCAAGCGAGCCCAGTAACGTCTCTGTAGTAAGACTTGTTGTTACTGTGTTTGGCATATCGAAAATGTCACGGTAGCTTGCCAGGCTTTGCCATGTGGGCAAGATACTCTCAGTAGCTTGCCCGGCTCTCCAAGAGGAGTGGAGGAATCGAACTCGGGTTGGCTGGGTCAGCCACGTGCAAGGCAAACGCCCTACCCGCTGTGCTCCAAGACAAGCAACCAAATTACTCTGTTACTCCATCCTCATGGCATATTTTTGTTTGGTCTAAACCTAATATACCAAAGCTATCTAAACTATCACTTTGGGGCTGGGGATACAATACAGTGGGAAGGTGCTTGCCTTATATGTAGCCACGCAGGGTTCAATCCCCAGTACCCATTTGGTCCCTGGAGTCCTGCCAGGAGTGACCCCTAAGTGCAGAGCCAGGAGCAAGCCGTGAGCACTGCTGGGTGTGGCCCCCAAATGAAAGTCAAACGTTTCTGGGTTTTTTGTTATGTTTTCTGTTGGTTTGGGGGGGGGGGGGGGCATACTTGGCTGTTCTCAGGGCTTACTCCTGGCTCTGTGCTCAGGGATCACTCAGGGGACAGGCTCAAGGGACAGGCTCAGGGGACGATATATGGTGCTGGGAATCAAATCCAGGTCAACCGTGTGCAAAGCAAGTGCCTATCCTGAGACACTGATATTGAGGAAGTACTTTAAGAATTTTTGTTTTGCATTCTTACTGTTGTGGCAGCCACGACAGACTTTGTTGTGAATGAAGTTTTAGGGAATGAAACACAGGTCCCCGCACCCACGTTTTTTTTTTTTTATTAGTGAAACACCATGAGGTACAGTTGTAGATTTACAAATTTTTGTGCTTGGATCTCGGTCACACCATGCTCAAACACCCATCCCTCCACCAGTGCCCATCTTCCACCACCAGGATAATATCCCTTCCCCCCATCCCCCCATCCCCCCCTGCCACTGTGGCAGGACATTCCCCTTTGTTCTCTCTCTCCTTTTGCCACCCACATGTTTTACAGCTACATCCTCAGCCCCTAAATTACTTTGTAAAGGTATGTTTTTATACATATTTAATATGTATACACACATCTATTAGCCCCATTTTGGGCTCACTCTTATGTACTTGTGTCTTTTCTTTCTCATACATAATTTATATGATCGTTTTTTGTACATAATATATTTGTTAACATAAAAATTTCTCTGCAAACTCATTGAAATTCCTCTTGGAATTATGTTATAAATAACACATGCCCAGATCTTATAGAAAAATAGAACTTTAATAAGGACAGAACTTCAATTAAAAGACAGGAGTAACTTGCAGACCGTGGTAATCCTCATGCAGAAATTCAATTCTCCTCTTGAAGCAAAATATTGCAAAGAAGGGATGGAAAAGGGATCTGAGAACCCACACCTTCCATGGGAAAGAGGAAGGGGATTGTTCAACCATCTCCTCTACCCCCAAACAACAACAACACATTAAGAGTCTTCCTTCTCCTGGAACCTATGGAAAAAGAAAGGGAAGAGTTATATTTGAGCAAAGAAATCCAAGACGAATAATATTCAGATAATCAAGAAATTTTACTTATGGTACGATGAAGGATTAGCTCTCCCTAAACTTTCTTCCAACTTCATGACAACTAAAAATGCTGGAATAAAAAGGCCAGATAGGCCAGAAAGAGAGAAGAGGAAAGGCACTTGCCATGCAGGCGGCCCACTCTTGTTCAAATCCGTGGCACCACATATGATTCCCCTGTTCCACCAGAAGTAATCCCTAAGGAGAGTCAGGAATAAGCCCTGACAGAACACTGCTGGGTGTGACCCCAAAACCAGGGGAAAAAATTCTAGGTGCAGGGAGATTATTCAAAGGAATGTATACTTGCCATGTGAAAGGCTAAGGTTTGATCCCTGGCACCGCATGACGCTGGAGCAACTGTGGGAGTGGCTCCCAGCATTACACACAATTCTGGCTCACCATGGTGCAGTCCCTCCCACCCCAGCAAAAATATATATTACATATACTTAAGAGTTCAGGGATGTGGCTCAATGATGGTATGGCACATTCCTCACATGTGTGAGGTTATGGGTCCATTCCCAGCACTGCTAAATATTGCACTGTAGCACTGTCCTCCCACTGTTCATCGATTTGCTCGAGAAGGCACCAGTAACGTCTCCATTGTGAGACTTGTTGTTACTGTTTTTGGCATACCTAATACCGCCACGGGGAGCTTGCCATGCTCTGCCATGCGGGCAGGATACTCTCGGTAGCTTGCCGGGCTGAGAGGGATGGAGGAATTGAACCTGGGTCCACCGCATGCAAGGAAACAGCCCCACCCGCTGTGCTATCGCTCCAGCCCCAAAGTCCCTCCAGATGTGATCCCTGAGCATCAATGTTTGGTGTGACCCAAAAACAAAAACAAAAAAAAAAAAAAGAAAATATTTCAACTTAAACTTCCTAAAAAAATAATTAAGACTGGTTAAAACTACTCTCAAAAATATATGTAACTCCAAATATTTTTAATCTGTTAATGAAATAGCACAGCAGATAGGACGTTTGCCTTGCACACAGCTGACCCGGGTTCAATTCCTGGCATCCCATATGATTCCCTCAGCACCGCCAGGGGTAATTCCTGCATCTAAACAAATACTGAGAATTCCCATTTACCACTGTCCACAAAGAATTCCCATATTTAATTCTAAAAATCCAAGCTTAGAGGCCAGAAGCTGAGCACATGCTTTACATGTGGGAAGCCCATGTTTGATCCCTAGCACTACACGGTTCCCTGTTGCCCCATGGGGAGTGAAATCAAACACAAATTTGAGAGTGGTTATTAAGTACCACCAGATATACTACCACCGCAACAAAAATGCAAGTTTAATGAAAATTCACAAAACCAAGAATGAAAGCACCTCTAAAGAGCAGAAATAACATCATCTGCCTCACGAGAACGGAGATATAAAAATTATCAAAGATAGGCAAAAGACCTGAGCAAAGGCAGGTGTGCACCCCTCCCCCAAAATAAACAATACAAAACATGTTTATAAGTTTTATAAATCTAAATCAGTATCTATATGCAGGTATAGATATTAGGGGCATAGTAGACAATACCAGGTAGTGTGAGGGGTTTACTCCTGACTTGGTACTAAGGTACTTGGGAGTTATCCTGCAGTCCTTGTAGGACAATGAGGTACTGGGGATTAAATCTGGACCTCCTGCATATAAAGCTTGTGCCCATGCCTTTACCTTCCAAGTGGCTACCCAGGTTCAATCCTTGACACCCCATATGGTCCCCCTGAGCCCCACCACAAGTCATCCCTGAGAGCACAGAGTCAGCACCACTGGTTGTGACCCAAAAGCAAAAACCCCAATAAACAGAACTCAAATTTAATTTTGAAACAATCTGAAAACAGAACAAAGTCTTAAAGAAGTTATCCAGATGCATCATAAAGAAAAAAGTGATGAGAGGCTGGGGATATGGCTCAATGGCAGAGTGCTTGCCTTAAGGTGATGCCCTGAGTTTGATCTCAGGCACAACAGAAACGGGAAAAAAGAATTAAAAATAGGACGTAAGGGGAGGTTTAACAAACTAGAGTTCCAAAATGGAAAACTGAAAATATGGGGGGAAGGGACCTTTAATGAGGTTAATTTTTTTTTGTCTCAGTTTTTGTTTCAGAAATCCAAATAAGTTTAAAAAAAAAAGTCATTAAGGCTGGAAGGATAATACAATGGGTAAGTCCCTTACCTAGGATGTGGCTATGGATGAGATCTTGGTTCAATTCCAGCACACATGGTATGCCCTCCTCCCCACAAAAAAGAAAGTCATAACTTGATAGAAACTACTGACCACAAAGGCATTCAAAGAGTCCATATCTAAGACAGGCATAACTAATTCTCTAAAGTAAAACTACCTCAGGACCAAAGAGATAGTACAGCAGGTAATATGGTTGCCTTGCATGTGGCTGATCTTTGTTCGATCCCAGGACCCATATAGTTCCGAGTCCTGCCAGGAGTAATACTTGAGCACAGCTGGGTGTGCCCCAAAGCCAAAACAAAAAAGTAAAACTACCTTGGGTACTTTGGAAAACTCTATCTAATATTCCATAAAGTATGCTGACCACTAAGTAATTTTTGCTTCTGCTTATTTATTTATTTACCACTGGGGGAGTAGGGGGAACCCTGGGATAATGGTGAAAGGAAGGGAAGTTACACTAGAGTTATACTTTAGTATGGGTGTAATATTGGAATGTTTTATATACGAAGCCCTACCAATAACAGTTTTGTAAACCACATGCCTAATAAAAAAACAAAACAAAACAAATAAAAAACCCACAAAACTGTTACCTGAGTTGCACAGAAATGAGAGGTGGGGCCAAAGGTAACAACTGTTTATTTAATATAAAGTCCCTGGATTTACTTGATTAGCCAACAGGCTGAAAAAGTCAGAGAAGGGGTTGGAGCAAGAGTACAGCGGGTAGGGCGTTTGCCTTGCATGCGGCTGACCCGGGTTCGATTCCCAGCATCCCATATGGTCCCCTGAGCACTTCCAGGAGTAATTCCTGAGTGCATGAGCCAGGAGTAACTCCTGTGCATCGCGGGTGTGACCCAAAAAGAAAAAGAGAAAGGCACAGAAAAGAGAAAGGATCTGCACCTGCAGTTGGTACACGTGTAGAAGACAGTCTGTCCTTCATCGGCCGAGCGCATCTGTCTGGTGTGGTACGCCATCCCCTCATGGCCACATCGAGGGCAGCGCCTGTCAATCTGGAAAGCACTGCAGGATTAGGTATCCATGGTCATCTTACATGATTTTTCGTAGAAATCAAACTCCACCAACTCTACAGCTCAAAGACTTCTCTTTCTCTTGGAACTGGGCACAAGAATTCCTATAGACTCTTTCCCATTTATCTAGTCGGGTTAGTGCTGGGTGACATTAACTTACCAAGGGTCCGTGGAACTCCTGGGCTTCCTCAAGGGACACAGGCATGACTGTCCCCAGTTTGTTGAACACAACTGAGGTCTTCACAACCTTTCCTTCGAAATCTGTGGAGGCAGAATCGGTGGTAGGGACGAGCAGAGGCAGCTGACACTCACAATTCCCCCTGTCCCCCAGTAGGCCAAGACACTGTACTCTTTCCTTTGATTTTATCTCCAAATAAAAAGTTAAAAGGGGGGCTGGAGTGATAGCACAGCGGGTAGGGCGTTTGCAGCAATCGAACCAAACCGGGTTTGATTCCCAGCATCCCATAGGGTCACCCCGAGCACCGCCAGGAGTAGTTCCTGAGTGCAGAGCCAGGAGTAACCCCAGTGCATCGCCGGGTGTGACCCCAAAAGCCAAAACATAAAAAACGTAATAAGGAGCAATTGCCACATTAGGGCCCCTCCCCCCACCTCCAATCAATCGATCTTGAGATCCTCAAGCCCCTGATCTTCCAACGCTAGTCCCCTTGCAAGAACGCTGCTGTGGTCCCCTCACCCAGCACGTTGATGGCAAAGCCACAGCGAACACAGGTGACGGTTTCCTGAGCTCCAGGCAGAGGCAAGACCGAGCCGCAATCCGGACAGAAATCCAGGTCCGACTGAAAGCTGGAGCACGCAGAGGCGGAGTCCATCACACATTAGGCGGTCGACCGCTGGCAAAGACATGATGCTGTTTACTGACAAAACAGTCGTTTCGTTCATTCCCATTCTGACCCTGGAGCTAAGCAAAGAGCACCCGAGCCCTCCTGCCAGGCACGCCGCAGTGCTCCGCGGCCGAGGAGCCCAAGAGCGTTCGGAATTCCCGACTGGCAGCCAGGACTTCGAGGCTTACCCGTCACAGGTAAGGGAGCGAGACAAATCCGCAGGCGGGAGCGCGGGGCCCACGCTGGCCGGGAATGAGTGCCAGGAGAGCTAGAGCGACCGCGCGTCCGGGCTCGCCATTGGCTGTGACGTCAAAATCACGCGACGCGTCGGAGCTCGCCGAGCGGCTCGAGAGAGAGGCTGCAGCGCCGCCTTCCGCCTGCCTCTGTTTCACCACTTTCGGTCGTTCCGATTTCGGGGGGGCGTGTCCCTGAGAAACGTGTCCCCCTTACTGAAGATGCTGGTCTCTGGCCTGAAGAACTCTGACTCCCGCCGTTCCGGGGTCGATGTTTCCCGGAAAAACCTGGCGGTGGTTCCAGTTCAGAGGCTCGTCACGCCTCGCGGGTCTCTCAGGGAGGCCCTGCGAGGGGCTCGCGTGCTTCGCCGCCCGGGCGGCCCCGCCAGAGGTGAGTTGGGGGCTGACTGGACCAGTGGGGGGAGGGTGAAGGCGGAGGAGAAAGGGACGCTGGGATGGAGTGGGACCAATGGAGCTTTGGGTTGAGGACACCCGCGCACCTGCCCTACTCCCGGCCCCACTTGTGCGTCCAGCCGGCTCCCCTCTCCGTTTGGTGGACTAATCTGTCATAACACAGAGGCCAAGAGAATAATACCGAGAATAGAGCTGGTTATTTTCCTTTATCTGGAGCTTGAAAACGTGTAAGTTGCCTAGTTCCCTCCCATCCCTTTCCCCCACACGCAACCGGAGCTTGTGCTTAGCTCCTACCTTTTTAAAAAAAATTTATTATTAAATTAATCTATTTTTGGCTTTTTGGGTCACACCTGGCAATGCTCAAGGGTTATTCCTGGTTTTGCACTCAGGAATTACTCCTGGCGGTGTTCGGGGGACCATATGGGATGCTGGGAATCGAACCCTGGTTGGCCGAGTGCGAGGCAAACGCCCTACCTGCTGTGCTCTCTAGCCCCCTCTTCTACTTTGAAAAGATCTGAAGTTACCACTAGTTTTTCCCCTCCAAAGGAAAGAAACGGTTTGCTACTTGAGAGAAGCTCCCAGTGTGACTTTATCTAAAGAGAATGGGCAGGGCCCGGAAGAGACTGTGCAGCCGCTAGGGCACTTGCTTGCATGTGACCAACCGAGGTTGGATCCTTCGCATCCTATAAGGTCCCCCAGCCCCAACCGGAGTAAACCCTGCGTACCACTGGGTGTGGCCCCGGTACCAGAAATAAATAAGAATGGGAAGACAGTAATGAAATCTTTATAATTAAAGCAGGAGAGCGATAAACTTCATAATTTCACTCAACTGTGTCTTTTGTCTAAAAAGGGCTGTAGGTGACCAAGCCCCATGATAAGCAATTATTCCTGTCTTTGAAAATTGAAGTTGTAATTAACGTCTTCCTCAGCTTTCTTTTTTTTCAAGTAGAAAAGTATTAAGGTATTTTACATGAGATGAACAATATCACAGTGCGGTCGAGGAACAGAAGCACCATGGGATATCATGACCATTCCAAAAAAACCTCACAGGTTATTAAAAGACTGTTGTCAGTATTTAAGCAGAGGCTCTGGCAGCAAAGTTGAGAAATCTGTCCTCTGACCTTACGTACAGACAAATAAAATGCAGTGACAGTCACTAGTAAGACAAAGTGTGTGTATGTTTCTTGAACCTGTATTAAATATACATATTTTTAATGCTGGTTTACCTCCTCAAAAAAGATTGAGAAATGTTGTGTGTATGGGGGGAGTTGTTTTGTTTTGGGGTTACAACTTGTGTGCTCCTGACTGTATTCCATATGAGGTGCGGAGGCTCAAGCAGGTTGTCTGCATGCAAGTAAAGCACCCTACTCACTGTACTATCACAATGGTTCTATTTTTCAAATTTTGAAATAATTGTACTGTGCCTAAAAGGTAAGAGTCAATATTTGATATCAGATCCAGTTTTATTCCATAATATAGGTATTTTATTTGCATATATAAATTATAGTTCTTTTTAATAGTCTTTCAGCATCAAAATGTTAAAAATTAGGGACTAGAGATATAGTGCAGCAGTTAAGGTATTTACCTTGAATATAGCCACTTCAAATTCTATCCTGAGCACTATATATAATAAGCATCCCAAGCGCTGCCAATAATAAGCCCTGAGAACTCCCAGATATGACCAACAACCCTCACCCCCTAAAAACAGTTACATCAGTTATATTGTAAGCCATGATTGATTTCCAAATGAGTTGCAGAAGAGATCAGAAGGAGACAGAAATCACTGTAACATAATGAAGACCAGAAAGACTTTATAAGTCAAATAGGGGGTTGGCATGTGGAGGATATACAACTGCTTCTTATGAACTTTTAGCCACACTCATTAATCTAATTTGTATTTATTCTTCATAACCCTGAGGCAGACTTTTGTCATATTACCTTCTGACAGAGACTTACAGATCTTGAATTACGTATCTAGGAATTTAGGATTCAAACTTAGCACTGTCAGGCTGAATAGCCTAATTTTTTTTTCTTTTTTTTCTTCTTATAGACTATATTTTCAGATATTTTAGATCTATAAAAAATTGATTAGGAGACAAGATTGTCTCCTACTCTAGCTTTTTTGTTTCACTAATTTTAATTTTCTTCGGTACCAGAGATTAAACCCAGAGATTACTCATGAAAGGCAGTTTCTACCCTGAGCCACATCCCCTTCAAAGCATATTTCTTAAGTATAGAGGGTATGATCACAGCCACAGAGATGAAATGCTAGGCATCTTCAATGGACTAAATGTGACCTCATAGTAAACTCAGATTAGACCAATGATTACACATGAAAAGTTGATAGTTTTCACTTTTGTTGCCATCAGCCTGCCCTTTAAATGATCCCAGCGTAACTACAAATTCCCATCCCTATGGGTCAACAGGGAATTGTCTGATACTGAATTTAGGTTGAAGGGTGATTGGCAGTGTAAGGTAAACAAGCAAAAGGGTGGGTGATTAAATCATTTCAGAACAAATTGGCTAGATATGCTATATATGCTGATAGAAGCTGAGAGGGCCCGGATCAAGAAACTGAAGAAAGAGAATGAGCTGATATCACTGAATGCTAGAGCTGTTTTAGAGGACAGAGCAAGCTGGAAGACTAAACTTGGCACAGATGAACTTGAGCAGGGCTCTAGAAAGGATTCTCTCTCTTCCTGCACTCAATTCCCGATACAAGATCCATCATGGTTCATGTTGAATCCACAGGAGAAGTATGCTTTAAGTTAGTTTATATAAAAAGGAAAGATCTGGAATTAGAAACATCTCAAATGGCTGAGATATGTCTCATGTACTTTGCAGACGGAAGCCCAGGTTTGATCCCCAGCACCCTATGGTTCCTTGAGCACTGCATTGCTTGGGTAATCCCTAAGCACTGAGTTAGGAGCAGACCCAGCGGGTATGGCCCCAAAACCAAAATAAGTAAGAAATCTTCCTTGCTCCATGGTTGGAAGCCTGCCTTATGAGCTGGGATAGAAGGAAGCTAGGATAGAGAAGGGATCACTAAGTCAATAATGTTTGGAGGTATCACTCAGGATGGCAGTTGTGTGCTGTAAGTAGATAAAAGACCAAACATGATGGCCTCTCATTGTCTGTATTGCAAACCATAATGCCCACAAGTAGAGAGAGACTAGGGGAAATTGTCTTCCATAGAAGCTGGGGGAAGGGTGGGACAAGGGGAGGGTCAGAGCATACAGGGAACATTGGTGGTGGAGAATGTACACTGGTGGAGGGATGGGTGTTCAATCATTGTATGGCTGAAACTCAAACCTGAAAGTTTTGTAACTGTAGCTCACGGTGATTCAATAAAATTTTTTTTTTAAAGTAAGAGATCTTCCTCCTGGTAAAGGAGTATTTACTGTTAACCATCAGAATGCAGTGGTTTCCCATGGTGGTGGTGGTGGGGGGGGGGGTGGGGGGGGTTGAACGTAGCTCTGTTACACTCCTGTCTCTTTCTGAAGTAAACATCCTTTACTTTGAACCAACAATTGGATTTTTTAGTATGTAAGTAAGAGTATTCTGTGACCTCCTCTTTCTTCCCTCTTTTCTTCTTTCCTTCCTTTCTTCTTTCTTTGCGGTGCTCAGGACTTACTCCTGGTTCTGTGCTCAGTGATAACTCCTAGAAGGCTCTGAGGACCACATTGGGTGCTGGGGATTGAACTAGGGTTGGCCACATGCAAAGCAAGTGCCCTACCCACTGTACTATTGTCTGGCCCCACCTTACAATTCTAATACAACTTTGCTTTTTTGTCTTCCAGACTGATTTGGGCTAAATCATCTAAAGACCCTAGAGTAGCTGCTGGTCAGCAATCTCCACTGGAGAAAGAAATATTGGTAAATATCTTAAACTTTGGAGTTATAGGAATAGTAACCTTGTTTAATATCTTTCTGCCCCGTGACACCTTCCTATAGTATCCTCACACTTTTCTAGCTATATGCATATGTGCAAAGAGTAGTATTTTGAAAACTCTTAATCCTATTTTTTTAACATATTTGATATTGGGCTGGAGAGATTGCTCAAAGGACTGGAGCCAATGCATTGCATATGGGAGCACTAGGTTTTTTCCCAGATACTTCATGGTCCCTTGAACCTGCTGTGGCTCCCTGGCCCCAGAAACCAAAAATTTAATACTTGATGTCATTTATATAGGTTGATCCTGACACACACAGCCTTCCAGCAATGCCAGGCCTATCTTTGGTGTTCCCAAGTACTAATAGGTGTGGCCCCCTCAATAATTGCAAAAAAAAACCCCCAAAACCACAAAATTTGATATGATGGTGTGGGTAGGGCAGTTGCCTAGTAAATGCAAGTCCAGGTTCATTACACCACATGTGGCCCCTAAGACCCTGAGGTCCCCTGAACATCAAGCCAGGAGAAAGTCCCAGGCAGAGCCGGGTGAGGTTCAAAACAATACCCAAAATCTTGTTATTGATTTGGGTAGTGGGTACTTTAACTTTTCAGAGCACACAGGCCCACCTGGAAATGATGGGAACAAAGTTATAATTAGACCAGAGTAAATAAGAGTTCATATATCTTTTCTT